CGATTTCCCATCTCCCTCTCTTTGGCATGTCAGCGCTCCTGTCCTGCATCGCCAGCATCCTCCTGCAAGCTCTGGGGGCAACTTTTCCCATCACTCTCCAATTTCTATGTTTAAGATATGTGCAGGGAGTGATGAGCTCAGAGACATATCTGTTTCTTTATTAAATCATTTCAAACCTTGCCAAACAGAATAACAGTCACAGCAAGTGTGGGTAAATACTACAGGAAACACTTGCTAAACAGCTTTTCTGTGAAGAAACAAAACAAAAAGCTTTTTCTGAGTCAGTTTACTGTGCAGCCAGACAAATAATGTTCTAATAAAGAAGTCAGTCAGCAATAACAGCCGTAACCAGACAGCAACAGAGCAGAGAAAAGGGAGTTTGTTACAGAGGATGAGGAGGAGGAGGAGAAGAAGAATACCCTGCTGTGGCTTCTTCTCCCATGACTTTGTTATCTGCAAAAACACCAAAAATGAGGATGTCTTGCAGAGGCATTCATGTTTATTGCAAACTGTGGTGAGAAACATATTACATTCCCACTAAGTGCTTCACAGTGAAAGTCTTAATACAGTTCTGATCTAGCTGTGGGAACACCAGATTACATGCTGCATCATTTCTTGAAAAGCCAACTTAAAACCGGGGTGGTCGACTGAATCTTTATATTCTGCTGAAAAATGTAGACCATAAAGAAATTGAGTTTGATTCCATGAAAATCAGAAGAATTATAACTAAACTTTAAGTGTGTTTAAAATATTCAGTAACAGCGATACAAAAGCCATAGACTACAAAAAAAACGATGTAAGATTATTATTATTAATGTTGCTAATGCTGAGTGCAAAGACAGATACACTTTCTTTATTTTTCATTCATTCATTTTCCTGCTTTCTCCTTTCTCTACTTAACTGAGAAAGTTTGAGTGCTCCCCTGTGCCAAAGGCAGTGAGACATTAGAAGATGTGTCAGAGATTACCCCGTAACTCTTGGCCCTCCTTCCCCCAACACGTTTTGTGACCTTCATGTGATTTGTCAGAGCCACCAGTGCAGAGATAGTTTTCAACCTCTGTGCTCACTTGCTGGCTCAGTGCCTTTCTCCTTCATCACTTTCCCTCATTTCTCTCCCTTTAGGGCATTTTGTCTATTTGGAAGCAACACCAGTGGGACTGAAAGGCGATAAAGCTCATATTAGAAGCTCTGTGTGGAAAGAGTCTAGCGCCATCTGCAAGCTCTCCTTCTGGTACTACATTTCCCACAAGGCCTCGGGAAGCATCCGGCTTCTGATCAAGGTAATGCATCTGCATATAGACAGAAATGACATCAAATTAGTGCAGCTGTATTGTGGTGTCTGTATTTGTAAAAAAAAAAGACAGGAGGTGTTTGATCTATAGAGGGAGGTTGTAGTTGGTCCTGAGCATCTGGGAAGATTCTCTCTTTGGCAGCTTGCAGTTCTTCTAACCCATCAAGTTTCTGTACACATGGCTGATTCTGAGGGATTAAAATTTCTATTTGGACTTTTCTGCCATATAAACTCTGGTGGGTTTGGCCTCCATCCTCTAGTCTATTTACTCTAAACTTTATTTCACTTTATCAGGTATGAAGCAGAAGGTGCTGCTGCTGTGCTTGACAAGATTCATTCCTCTTCAGGAAGGTGTTGCAGATCATTTTTCTGCATGTGTGGCACTTCAGGAACTTTTTATGCCATCTGCAACAAAAATGCTAATATAAATGTATTTAGTTATTTATTTGTAGTACCCCCCTTTTTCAAACATTTACATATCATTGCTCATGCAAAATAAAAGGCTGTTCATGTTCATTTCAAGGAGGATCCACATTCAAACACACATGGCAGACAGATTTTGGTAGGAAGCTGAAAGATTTAGGAGTTTAAAAGCGAAAAAAAAAAAACCCCAACCAAACAAAACATCCAAAGAGAAAAGCCATCTAATGGGAGCAATAACTGAACCAGAGCAACTACGAAGCCCTGAAAAAAATTACACACTCCAGAGAGCAGGGTAATAAGGAACAAGAGCAGGCAATCACAAGAGCACAAAAAAGAGGAATAAAACACCCTAATACGCACAGGGAAAGTGATTACACAAATAAAACAGGAAATGACTGCCAAAAAAATGGCACAATACTGGAATACATACGCAGAGGAAACACGTAGAGAAAACAATTAAAAACTCAGACAGGGGTAAACAACATCAGCAATGGGAAAAACAAAACACAAGAAACATGAAGAGAGAAAGAGACGAAAAGCAAACTGTGGTTTATGCCTGTCTCTGACACAGAGCTACAGTTAAAAAGATGTGTTTCTGCTACTTTAACTTTTAATTATAAAAATATAAACACACAAACACATTTGAGGTGTCTTTAGAAAATAAAAAACACCGCTAAGACCCTATGGGAATGTGGTGAAATTTGTGTATATTGTGCCTGTTGTTTCTATATAGTTCTTTCTAATGGTAGTTTTAAAAACCTACTTTTCTCCCTTGCTGTTTGTTTCATTGTGCTTCACTTGTGAACAAAAACTAAAACACATTGAATGATTGTGGCTGCACATTAACAACCTCGTTATGTTACTCATTCACTGATCACATGCTTGGATGGACACGTTACACTTACTGATGCTGTTTTTGTCTCAATCATTAGATAAATAGTCTTTGCTATTGATTGTACATTAAAGCCTGATGTAGACTGGATACTGCAATCATGATGGGATTTGCCCAGTCCCCCAGTCGGCTGTTGGATTGATTATGAGGCTCTCCGAGAGGCAGGAGATGATAAATGCATGTGGACTATTTTTAAATGTGCACCCTCTTTCACATATGGGTTGAAAATGTAAAATTTGGCCTTTTAAAGAAGGTCAGCTCTCTGCTTTAAAATGAGGCGCTGGACTCATTTACACTTAGAGACACAGACGTAACGGGTGGAGAGTTCAGAGGCCACCCTGTGTGTGTGTGTGTGTGTGTGTGTGTGTGAGGGAGAGAGACAGGCAGATAAAACCAAAATGCCTCCAGTGTTATGTGGCTATAGCTTCCTATGACACATAAATGATGATAAGTACATGTATGACCTAGAAGGTTCAAAGACATAAGCACTTACAGATTATTGGTTTGTGCTATAATTTACAACATTAGAGCACTTTTATAGTCTGAATGTTGCAGCTACATAAATACCAGCATGCACACACATTTGCAGAGGCAGGGCAATAAAAACACACAACCACGCTCACACTCTCTGCAAGCCTCACAGTGTAAATATAGTGTATACTATGCATCTTTAAAGGGTAACTGAACAACAAAAAAGCTTTTGATAATAAGAGTGAAAGGGAGGGGATTGTATTTACATGGCAAGCCTCCCCCCCTCCCATGAAGTTCACAAGGGGCTCAACAGGCGGCTCTATTTATATCACCAGCCGTGTGAACTGCTTCTTTTAGTCATTAGTCATCACACTAATGAAGTGTCTGTCCTCAGCAGCAGAGCAAACTGAATAAAGATGGGGTGTAAGAGTGAGTTAAGTAGCATTAATGTAACTGCCAATCTTCAAACTTCCAGCAACACTGCTTCTAATGTGTCTACATCCATGTACTGTGGTTGAAGGTATACATGCATTCTCCTATGAGATGATGGATGATGTCCTAGAGGATCTCCTCCGAGATAGGACCAGGGCATCACTGAGCTCCTGGACAGTCGGAGGTGCAACCTGGCAGTATCGGAAGGACTGAAATATATAGAGTTGCTCTATTGGATTTAGGACAGTCAATGGTATCAATCCCTTCATCCTCCAGGAACAGCCTGCATACTCTCACCACATGAGGCCTGGCATTGTTGTGCACCAGGAGGAACCCAGGACCCACTGTACCAGCGTAGGGTGTTACAGCTTGTGCAAGCATTTTATCCTGATATCTAATTGCACTTAGGGTGTAGAGGTCTGTGTGCACCTCTGCTTCTCATTGTTTGGTTAAAGGCAATCACACCAGTGGCCTGGTGGAGGTCATTTTGTAGCTTTAGCAGTGCTCATCCTGTTCTTTCTTGCACAATGAAGCAGACAACAGTCCCGCTAATTGGTTAATAACCTATACAGACCTGTAGTAACCGCTTGTCTCCATGCTTCTGAGACTGAACTGGGAAATACAAAAAAACCTTTTGGCAATGACACATGTTGATGTGCAGTCCTGGAGGAGTTAGCCTACCTGTGCAACCTATGTAGGGTCCAGGTATCGCCTCAGCTACCAGTGGTAACACTGACCTTAGCCTCTTCCTAGTGGGCGGGGCTTAGTGGGAGACAGAAACTACAGAAGGAGAGTCCCCTGTTTACAAAGTCGGGCCTTTTTTTCTTCATTTTTGCCTTGTGCAACTTTAAAGTTTAAACATTTGCAACTTTTTGAGGGGTCAGGGATGAGATGGGGCAATTAAAGTTTGGTGAAAAAAAATAAAGTCTGGAATAGAATTAAAACAGAAATGGGACTATGCTAACGAAGGAAAATAATGTAATTCGTATTTTTCGTTATACCCCATTTCCTTGGCTGTCTCAGCAGTATAAAAGTTTCATCTTGGAGAAATGAACTCTTCCTCTTTTCATGGTAGAAATATTTTACTTTCCCTGCCGTGTATTTTTCATAATAGGCTGTTTGTTTGCCTTACTGACTGATGCACTTTGAGTCAGCCTACCATAACGATGACAGCAAAATTACTACATAGCTAGCTGTTTGCTCATTAATATAGTTATATATGGTGTTGTGGGTTCAGATACAGCCTGCGATTATGGTGAGCCAAACATCTGCCGGTCAGCCACAGAGAGGACGTTCTACTCGAGTAAAATATAGCATGACGAGGCTAATCTTTTGTGCGTGTTTCTCGTCACGGAAACAATATGCAAATCTGTCCCTGGTGAAACATGGAAATATTTTTTTAAGTAAGGAAAGACTGAGTGTAAAGAAAAAAAACTTGAATGTGATTTGACTAAAAGGTAAGTTGACAGAAAACAGCTGCCAGCAGTTTCATAAAATGAAAAAGCCATGAATACAAATTGGATTTTAGTTTTGTGGAACATTCAGTATACGGTTAAGACGTCAAGGATTTCACAGTTTCAATAAAAAAAGCTTTTTGTTGCGAACACAACTTTGTTTCTTTCTTCTGTTTCTCGCATCCTGACTTTTACTGAGAGATAATAAAAAGAAATTATGCAAATGTGTATCCTCTCTTCACTTTGAGCAAACCGAATTGGCGGCTTGCGCTGCCTTGTCTGCAAGCTCAGGAAATGAAGCTTCAAATTGATCGAATAAATGCCTCGACTGATATGCCACCCAGGCATCAAATGTGAGCTACGTATGCCTGTAACGCGCGCTCGTCACTCGCTCTCTGGCTGCTTTTATGGATTGGGCCTTTACTCCGTGGCATAAATCTGGATAAGTCCTGCTGCAACGCTGCCTATTAATGTACGCTCTACTCTCACAGTAACAAGATTATTTCAAGCCAGGGCTTCACTGGCATAAAGAGAGAAGACAGTCTGTGCAAGCCTCACCCAAGGGTGCATTTTAATAGGCTTTCCAACCGCAGAGTAGAAAGTGACATTGCTTGTCCTCTGCGTTTCAGTATATTACACCAGGTTTCCTTTCACTGCAGTCGAGCCTCCGGTCACATATTGCCACCTCAAGTGCAGCATGTTTGCTGCTTTATTTTGTTAGGGGTGGTGTTTATTTCACACTCTTGCAACTCATTCCCCACTGCAGCACTGCCCTTAAAACTGAATAATTATGTGACGCTATAGACCTGCAGTTTTCCCATCACCTTTACAAAGAGCAGAGGACGAGGAAGCCGTCGTAAATTATTAGAGCTACAGCAGTATTAATATCAGACTCATGAGCTTCTGCAGAATAGGTAGTTAAATCTATATATGCACCCCCATTAATGCTCTTCTCCCGCCTCTGGTAGAGGACCCGAGCTTGAAGGATTGACCGCCCACAGGGGCGAGTGGAGGATTTTTTTGTATATATATAAATTTTTCTAAGAAAATTGGAATCATTTATTCAAGGACTGTATTCTTCATGGTGTGTAGTGTGTCCTAATATAGCCAATGACTAACAGCTCTTCTGGATTCATCTTGTTGGTGAAAAATACAATTTTATCTATTCCAAACTGGCATATTTTTGGCATTTTTCAAAGATTTAGCTGAAAAATAAAGAAAACGAATTATGTGTTTTCATGGTTGCTGTAACAAAGTGCCTAAAAATACCAAAAATTAGTTCTTTGCTAAGTTGTGTATACATAATACTGGTTCATCCCGCTGAATGATTCATGAGGTCAGTGTTAAGTGGCTCAACAAACAAATAAAAAACATCCATCCATCCATCTTCTTCCATTTATCCGGGGCAGAGAAGCCCAGACCTCCCTCTCCCCAGCCACCTCCTCCACCTTATCCAGGGGAACACCAAGGCGTTTCCAACCTCAACTGGCTCCTTTTGATGAGATGGAGCAGCAGCTCTACTCTGAGCCCCTCCCGGATGGCTGAACTTCTCACCCTATCTCTAAGGGAGAGTCCAGCCACCCTTAGGAGGAAGCTCATTTCTGCCGCTTTTATCCACGATCTTGTTCTTTCGGTCACTACCATAGGTGAGGGTAGGGATGTAGATCGACCGGTAAATTGAGAGCTTCGCTTTTACACTTAGCTCTCTCTTCACTATGACCTTGGGGAGGTTCGAGGACTGGACTGAAAAGGAGTAAAAAAGTAGATCAAAGAAAAAGAGAAACTTTGAAAGACCTTCGGAAGTATCTGGAGAAGTATAAGTTTTGCTCAGTACCTTATAGATGTTTGGGTATTTTTCTCAAAAGTTGTACAAAGTCAGTCTTGATCCATACTGGCTCAGTTTGCCAACAATTAGCTGCCATTTCTTACACTTCATTCTTATTCTTGGCTCAATGCTTTTGCAGATCTAACCCCATCAGAGACTCTTCAGCTACACCAACTCCAAGCGGTTCCACATTCTTTCAATAAAAAAGTTTTAAAAGTGGCCATGTGCTGCTATTTATTGTAGATGGGCGAGTTATTCAGACACGCTGTTTCCAACCTAAACACTTATACCACATCCCTGATGACGTTACACAGTTTGAAAACATTTCTGATAAACCAAGCATGTCATTTTTGTCTTGCTAGCCCACAGAAGCGTTCTGCTAAGCAGTCTGTTTTGCTTCATTCTGGTCCCGTTATTGAAAACAGAAAAGGTTTCAGCTAAAATCGAGTGGGGCTGGTTAGACATGCAGTCAGGGATTTGTTTCATCCCCTTTGGCCAAACAAGGAGCAACAATGTAACCATTCATCCTCAAATGAAACACTCAAATAAAAAGAAAATCTTCTACAAGCGACATACAGATGCAGATATTTTATGGGAAGGTTTTCAGCTTTAAGGGTTTCGTGTTTGAACAAAGACGAGGATCACATTAGATTAACAAATTCAGGAAATGATCTGTAGTACTTTACTGACGTGGATCATCTGCCATAAGTACAACATTGTATACAGTAGCAAAACACGGTGTTTTATGCACCACCGCTTCTATTTAAGTAAACATTTTTTCAGGCTGAACACAGATCACACTTCTTTCTTAACCCACACAGGACCATCGTCCCCACAGTTAATGAGCCCAAAGACTTCAGGTAGTTCTATCATTTTATTACATAATCTAGGTGAGAAATCTTTAAGTAAATGATCCCAAACATTCAGTTTTAATTTCTCAGGATTTTTTTTTTTTTACTCATCTTTAATTATACTTAGCTACTTTATTTGTCTTTGCTGGCTTGACCAGAGCATGCAACAACAATTTCAAGACTTTACTTTGACATTGTACTCTTGTTGATACTTTTTGTCTTGATATATTTATTCTTTAGTTTCTCGGGTTTTGTTTTTTTCTTTAATCCACTTCATCTAACATTCAGCATTACTTTTTAAAATCGGTATATGTAGAGTACGGTTCTGTTTTATCTTATCTGAACTACACTATTGTTAAAATTCCATTGCATTTTCTACTACCTTCACCATCACCTCGCTAGATCCTGTTACTCTTATGCCCAAAGTATTTTAATATGAAGTGAGAGAGCTTTATAAAAGTCCCATTGGTGCTTTTGACATGACAATAAAAACCAGCGATGAGATGCCGGCTCGTCAAAAGGCACATCCACTAAACCCAGAGTCAAATTTGCTGTTTCAAAGCTGTATTAGTCATGATTTAGTGCCTGGCAAGTACCATGGGAAAAGGCATAGCGGGCTTACAGAGGAATACACGTCAGTTTGTCTTTTAATATGTTCCATGTGTGACATGAGAGAAATCCATTACCATACTCAGAAAGCAGGGTTTAAATGTGAGTCGCAGGTCTCAAGGCGGGGGAATTATTACTACAATGTTATGCTAATGCTAATGAGAGTTTAATGACTTCTCTTAGATGGCATTCGCTTTTTCTCAGCAGCAGCACTCTGTCCACATATCTGATTCAGCACGTTTTGACCAAGAAGTTCTTCACTCTCGACATGAGGCTTAAAGTTTGAAAAATCTTTTTTCTGACAGCAATGACTGCTGTAGCTCTTTGAAATGAGACTGCAGCCCCTTAGTATGTGAAATGCTACCACATGAGCCTCTTTTTGTTCATCGCTGCTCTTCTCCACAGATGGAGAATGATTTAAAGGAGGTGTGGAATCAAACGGGACATCAGGGCAATAAGTGGAATCGAGCAGAGATCTCCCTGAGGAAGCTCAGGAACTTTGAAGTCATATTTGAGGTGGTGCGCCTAAAGGACGTGAGCGGTGGAGCGGCCTTAGATGACCTGGAGTACATAGACTGTGCCCCAAGTAGGTAGCATGCACAAACAGTACACAACAAGTTTTGCATATAGACTGGACCACAATAAAATAATTATGAAAAGCACTATGAAGGCAAATTTCATGTGAAATTGGGTCACTATAAGCCCATGTTTCATACACCTGGGGAGATTAATGACAATATTACAACCATTTCTATTACTGTTCATTTTGTCACTGATGGTTTTGCTCCAAACGATTGTTTGGTCAATATTATTATGATTACATGTCATTTTTAAAGTTTTTTTTCATTTATCTTTGTATTGGTGCATTTTTAATAGTGGGGTGGAACCGAAGGCAGTGCCACAGACTTTTTTCTAAATTCTTAATTATGTGAGTTCTGGGGATGGCATTGTAACTGTGTCCTTCAATTGATTTTCCACTTTCGGGTATGAAATTTAACAATAACTGAATGGACCACTATGAAAACTGATGCAGACATTCATGGTTCTTAGAAAATAAATGACCTTTTTTGAGGAAACTCTTAGAAAACCATGATTTTTTTTTATGTGTACATGTATAAATCTGCCATGGATCACTATTAGGACCTCACTTAAATAATCTGATAATAATGTACATTTTAAAAAAAGCTATTGATTGTATAACGCTTTTGAACACTAATTTAAAAAGGGTTGAACCAGCATCAAAGCATTTGTGGACTCTAGTAAAAATGTAAAAGTTGTAGTGATGTAAAAATGAAATGACATAATTAGTTATGTCAATTAAATGCCTGCGTACAATTATGAACGTGCAAGCAGGCATTTATTTATTTTTAATTAAATTATTTTTTAAAGATGCTTTTGGCAGATATATGGAAAATGACTGACAACCAGCAAATTTTAGCATGTTTAAATTGCATGTTGCTGTTAGCATTTAGCTTAAAACAAGCGACCCGGGGAAGTGTTTTGGGTATTTCTTTTGTTATTGCAGTTAATTAAAAAAAAATGAAGTTAAACACAAAAAAACACAATAGGTTAAATACATATAATGGTGTATATGTAAACAAAGTAAAATTGTATTATGATTATTCTTATTATTAAAACAAATATCTTAAAAAGGAAAAAAAACTTAACTGAAATATAAGAAAATAGAATTAGTGAATTAGTGAATTTTAATTAGAAGTAAACCATTTCAAAATTGGCTAAGCAAAAACACAATTTAACCGAATAAAAAACGACCGTGGATTCTTGCACCAATGACAAAAGACAAGGTGAGAAATATTGCGACCAATTATTAGGCACAAAGCAACGGGCAAAGACAGAATTGTGTTAAAAGCTGCACAGTCGAAAGAAAGTAACACACACCTTTATCTTTGATGGCAGCACACATCTGATAATTTAGAATCACGTTATTTTTTGCCACTTATAGTCATGATCGAAAAGTTGGAAGTGCTGCGTAAAGTCTTCTCCAGCAGATCCCAAAGATTTTGAGCGGGATTATGGTGCGAACTCTGTGGCGGTCCATACATGTGTGAAAATGATGTCTCATGCTCCTTAAACCAGCGGTCCCCAACCTTTTTTGCGCCACGGACCGGTTTATGCCCGACAATATTTTCACGGACCGGCCTTTAATGTGTTGCGGATAAATGCAACAAAATAAAACTAGTACCGGTACCGAAAAAATTTTTTATTCATAACACACGTGAAAAGACCAAGGAAAACCGAGTAAACGATAAAAACGATAACAAAATAACGCTGAAAACCCTGAAAACTATACATTTCACACCTGAGCCTCAACTCTCGCGGCCCGGTACCAAACAACTCACGGACCGGTACCGGTCCGAGGCCCGGGGGTTGGGGACCGCTGCCTTAAACCACTCTTTCACAACTTGAGCCCGGTGAATCCTGGTATATTCATCCTGGAATATACTGCTGTCATCAGGGAAGAAAAAAAATCCATTGATGGTAAAAATGTTTGACTCGGTCTTCTTTTAGTCAGCTGACCTCGTTTTTGGGAAACATAATGTTCCTGAATCTAAACCTCCAATGTCATCAACAGCTCTTACTTTTTTTTACTTAGTTAAATCTAGTTGGGCTGGACAGCGTATTTATATCACATATTATTTATGTACATGTATCTGCATCTGCAGTTTTCAATGGTATAGTTTACAAGTAATTTACTAATTAACTGTGAATTGCAGCCAGCAAAGGTAAATGATAAATAACGCACTGCAGGCAGTATCGTAGGTGAGCAGAGGAGATAGGAAGGGTCTTTAAATTTCATTGTCCTAAAAAAAGGAGCAGTGGAGAGGAAAAGTTTCAAAAGCCGGAAATCTCACCACCTGGTAAAGTAATCACAGACTCGCTGGCGCTCGGCAAACCCCTGCACATATATTACCGTTGCTTTGTGCACAGTGGCAGTGCAAATCTTTCTTATTGCTTCTTAAATTTAAAAAGCAGCTTCAATTCAACTAAACTTTTAAAAGCATGAGGAAAATGTCTTTTATTAACTTTGTGTTCATAGCGGCTCATGTTTGCTGAAGTCTGGAGAATAGCCTTAATCTCGCCTTTAAAAGAAGCTGGACCCATGACTCAGTCTCTTTGTAAATGTGAGATTAAAGTAAAGCAATGCATGATGTAAACCTGCACCAACCCAGGTGCCTTAATGCAACAAAATAAATAATTCCAGCAGTTAGAGTGGTTGAGAAAATAAAAACTAAAAAAGATTTCAGCCTGAATTTCACAAAGTGGATTAAATTGTTTTCAGTTTCTCTCTAGCCTTCCTCTCTGCTTTCGTTTTATCAAAGTATTCTTCCAATAAGCTTCATAAGCGCGATATAACTATGCTGTGAAATTATTTTATGATCTTTCCAGCTGATAGTTTGGAGTATGAAATTGATTCTGCCGCCGGCACATTCAGAGAAAAAGAAAGGCAGAACTGGTGGTTCTCGAAGCGAGAGGAGAGTTTGATTGTCTTTGGGACGACAGTCGCTGACAGACGCCGTTTGATATTTATGTTTGAGACAGATGTTGTACATTAAACAGGACCTGGCACAAGGCTGGGCACCAGGGGCGATGTTTCCTGCTCTGCCGACCCTTTTCCATCTCCATCTCCAGTGCACACGTATAAACAAACACACACAGGAGAACATAAATACTGACCTACAGATCTAATTGGAGGCATAGATCAAAAAAGACTGCAGACACACAAGCAGACAAATTGTCTGTCCAAAGCCAAATGACACAGACAGACAACTTCCATCAACTTTGAGTGCTCGCTAAAATGGATTTTCAGTTTATTATATGATGGGTTTTAACCCCACTGACCTCCCGGAATGAAATTCAACTCTTTCCTCATTTCACTCATCATTTAATGTCGCTGCCTTTGAAGTTTAATCATGCACACACACACACATCTGCACAGACGTGGCTAATGTGTGTGTGTGTGTGCGCGTGCTGTCTGTGATCCACCTGATTTGTTTTCCTTGCTCTCTGTTCCATCTCAAACAAGGCGGTGCAGGGGGAAGGGGGCTTTGATTTCTCTGACAGGCCTTTGTCTGCTTTTGTTTACCTTCTTCTCCGCTGCTGTTCTTTGGTGCTGAGCACAGGAAGTCTGTGTTTTATTAATAAATTGTTCATCACAGCATTTTATTTAATGTCAGATTTAATTTGTCTGGATTAGAAAATGGGGATGAAATTGTTGAGGAATAATAGAAATCATGATTATTCATTGTAATTATCTGTATGTTTTAGCCACTGTGGAGGCCGTTGGTTGTCCTGCGCCCACAGATTTTGTGTGTCGCAGCGGCCACTGCATTGAGTCCCACCTGGTGTGCGACGGCAAGGCCGACTGTGCTGATGAATTGGACGAAGCTGACTGCGGTGAGTAGAAATGATAAATAGGTCCCTTCTTGGAGAGCAGAAGGACAACTTTGAAACAGGACGGCAAACTCTTTCCTTTCATCTTTCAATTTCTTCCTTTCTGGCAGACAAAATAATTAGCTCGCCAGGTGCTTGTAGCTTCAACATGGAGGCAGACCAGTGGAAAGAGAGATGCCAACTTTCTCAAGACCCTGATGATGACTTTGATTGGACGATTGGTTCCAGTACTGAGACACCAGGGGCTGGACCTATCACCGACCACAGCCAAGGTCTGCAGCTGCTCTCTGCTAAAATCTTACCAAAAATATGACCATACACATAAAGAAAAATGTGCTTTTACTTCTGTTTTTCTTTTCTCAAAGCAAGTCGAGGGTTTTTATATTGGCTTTTTGGGTGGTTGGCTGCAATAAGGTCTGAAATTAGCACAATGTGTTGTTTTACGGCATAAAATACATAGAAGTACTCCACTAATGTATTTTGAAGTTCTTTTATGTAACTCACAGAAGGCGCTCGCTAACCAACTACACAAAAGTTGTCCCATTTATGCTTCGAGGTTCATAAAAGTAGAATTTTTGAGCATCATCTTACTGAACAAATAATGTATCATAAACTGATTTTCCCTGAGCTTATTTCCTTTAATTATCCAACAAGTCCATAGAAAAGCCCACCGAGGGGTAGTTTTATTCTGTTTTCCTCATGTTTGGCTTTGTCTGAAAAAATCCTCCATCCTTGTGTCACTTACATGATACCCAGAATTACAATATGAGCATCTTCTGATCGGATGCTTCTGTCAGCCTCCTAGTTTGTTCCTGTTAATAACACTGGCAGAAAAAAACAAACAATTTCTCAAAATTAGGAGCAGACAACATCTGCATTCTCCTGACACCCTCCATGTTTTCAGCTCTCTGGCAGCGCCTTTGTAATTACAACTTGACAGCTGGAAAATAGGACTGTGTGACACCGACATGAAGGCAGGGTTAAAAATACTTCCTGATCAATATCAGTCTGAGTCAAACTGAGCTTAACAGCATTCCTGCTTATCATATGAAGCAAAGCTGCTTCAAATATTGTTTTTTAAACCGATTAATTGAAAGGTAACGACACTTTGGCAACAATTACCCACATCTATGCGAAGTAATGTTAATCAAAATTTCCGTAAGACTTTAAGGCATCAATAACTCACCAGCTGAAAATACATTTGTTGACTACACCTGCTCGACTGCTTATTAATGCAAATATCTAATCAGCCAATCACATTTCAGCAACTCAGTGCATTTATGTATTCAGGCATCTACTGTTAATATTAACTTGTGTACTGATATGCTGTTACCCAGGGATTGAATCAGTTATTGCTGTATGTGAGCAAGTTTAAATATGAGTGATTTCCCACTGGTAAATATACACTCTAGCATCTCTCCAAGATTAAACTGGAACTCTCCCCCCTCCTCCATCACCTTGTGCACAGATGTGCACGAGTGCACGTCCACAGATCTGTCTGCCACAGCACAGTTAGCAGCTATTGTTTCTGAAGACATGAGCAACATAAAATTGTACCAATTGCTCACTCCTGTCTCAGGCTGTGTAAGGGGTAGAGAAAATGAGCGAGTGGCTTCTCCAAGCACGCCCTTTTTATTTAAGGCCTTGAATGAAATGAGGACGACAAGCAGCATGAGTGGAGCGCACGGGTGAAAACTGTTAAGGAGAAAGTAAGGTGGTAAAGAAACACACACACAGCAGCTATTTTGTCCCTGCATGCCACATGAGAACCATAATGCTGAGGACAAAGCAGCATTTTTCATGGGTGACAGTGCACTCAATGAACCAGCTGTTGTCTTCTGAGTTGCAGCTGTAACTCCACCTTGTACTGGCTGTCACTAGGTTGCTATTCCTGATCGGTTATTTGAGGTTATTGATCGGAAGGATGAATGATGGGCTGGATGGACTCGTGATCTTACAGCTTAAAAACACATGGACAAAGGCATGACTCTGCAAATATCCTGTCGTTATAGGATCAGGTAATGGAGCACATGCGTGTACACGTTCTTGGAAAACGAGCTCTGCCTGGATAGATGCACAGACTTTGTTTTGATTTTTATGATTTGATTCACCGTAGCGGAATCTGTGTTGTGGGTGTGAGCAGGTTTTTTTTGTGCACTGTGGATTGTGATGGCCTTAAATCCCCCTTAACTCATGTGGAAAACTCCCACTTTGTTCTGGCACTGCACACATGCTGTCTCATCTCCAAGCTTAGCCGAGCTGAAGAAGCTCTCTGCAGCTTTTGGCTGCAGGATACATTTAACGACAGCCTTCCTCCGTCTAAATATCGTGCATATTTGAACCAGCAGAATAAGGTTATTGGATTTCTTTCCTGCAGCAAAGCTGAAATTTGATGGTTGAGCTGGGTTTGGCTGTGGCTTTTCTTTTGCTGTTTCAGCTTCATCGTTCATCGCACTGAGATATTACTCATGCCTTATATAAATGTGCTGCAATTGTAAAGTACTGCATTTATCTCCAAAGGTGGTGGAGGGAACTTCCTGTATATAAACTCAGCCATTCAGCGCGAGGGCGATGTTGCCAAGGTGACAACCAGGAGTCCATTTCCTGCCAGCATCGGCCTGTGTCACCTGCGCTTCTGGTTCTTCATGCATGGTTCTGATAGGATGGGAACATTGAAGGTGACCTCATCTCAGACAAATTTCTCTTCTGTTTGCTGCTTTTGGGCATCAGGCTTTTTTTTTAACTGTCACCTGCTAAGAAATTATCCAAAATGAAGGCTTAATTTGGATTTGTCAGAGATTTCTTTCCTCTTCTACTCAGCTTATCAACATATTTTGCTCTGCTTACTGTCAGTCACCTGATACCCAAAGGAGGAAATGAAAGTCTTTCTTCCTGCAAATAATCCATCAAAGCATGTCAGGTTACAAACGTCATTATCATATCAGTCTTTTCATGTCTTTTTAGGTCTCTTTGTTAAATGGGTTAATTTCAAAACAACAAACAATAAGCATTTGCTAAAAACCCTACTTAGACAGGAAGCGTACTCCATGCGTAGCCACAGCTGAGGCGCTTACAAGGAATCTACATGAATTATAAACAAAACTACTCAAAAACTCACAGCTCTAAATTATGCATAAATTACTGTATTGCTAGTCAAAAACAACTATTAAACCTTCAGAGTTTCCACTTTTGAAATAAGCCATCAGAAAGTTTTGTAAGGAAGGATATTCTAGGGTACTTCAATTGAGTTTTTCCATTTCGTGCTTCTTTTTGCTTCTGTTCCACTACACCTCTGATATTGAAAAGTGTATTTTTAAATTGAAACTCAACTAAACAAAGGAATACTCTCCCATAAAAGTCTGTTTTAAGAGACAATACAAAGGAGGTCAGTGATTCAGCTGACCTGATTTCCTCAAGCAGACTGTTGGTGAAGCCTCGACTGAACATGCTTTGTATATTTAGTTTTCAGCCAGACCTCTGGAGCACAAAACAGACCACTGCCTGAGGACCTTGAAGTGCAGTGTGTGTATAAGAGATCAGAGATGTAGCTGGAAAAGAGGCTGTGCAGGTCTTTGTACTAATCAATAAAATCTTAAAATACATTTTAAAAAATGATGTGATGTAGTTTTTAGTTTTGGATCAGTTTGGCAGCCAAGTTTTGTAAGTGTACAAAGACAAAGGTCTCTCTATCTTTACAAGTTAATGTTAAATTAAGGTATGTTCAATAAAGCTAACAGTGAAGTGCCTTAAACCTGTCTTTTTTATTGACGAGCAGGTAGCAACTGCTTTGGTTTTGTATATGTGTGTGTAGCTGTGTTCCAAGTTGTTAGTTAGTTGTTTAATAAAACAATTTTAGAATTATGCTCCAATCTAGAGTAATTTAATGATGATTAAGCAGCATGTGACTTTGTAGTCAAGGCGCTACCCTATGAGAGTTAGTGTCCTCAGTTTCTCAGCCAGATCCATCACTCACTTATTTCATTTCATTTAAAAATTTAAAGCGTAAGAAAAAATAAAGGAAAATAACATAAGATGACAGTAGCCAAATAACTCAGATTAAAGTTTCAAATTAGAACCTCATAAATAAGTTAGGCTCCAGCCACACAGTCCTAAAGTTAGTGACCGATTGGCGACCCCCTGGAAACCACCAATCGCTAGGGGATAAGGTTGTATTTCCTGACTGGTTGGCAATTGGTTGTCCGATGCTGGTCTCAGTTGTCATGTGAAACTGGTCACAAAGAAATCTGGAGTGCTCCAATGGAAACCTCCTCTCAGTTGCTTTGGTTGCTAGCAGTTTGTGAAGATTATCTGTAGTTTGTTAACAGAAAAGCACTACTTTTACTCAGACAGCCAACATTTTCCAGCTTATGCCACACTTTTTCCAAGTTTCACTACAGCTCCATAGTTAGTTTGTGAGTGTTTGCAGACAAGTCTTCCCTGAAAACAACCAGCAACCACAGCAATCTGCCAACAACCACTTGTTAAATGACAGGAGAATATGCATTTAACCTAACAACCATTTTGTATTATTGTTGGGTCTTACCTCACAATATAAAACTGCTGTTGTGATTTGGCACTATATAAATAAAATTGAATTGAACTAGAGGATGTTTCAATTCCATTTTCAAGAGGTTGGCCTATGCCTGGATCCTAAGCTGGCTGCAGTGAGAGAAGTACAAATAATCTGGAGTTTTTTGATCCAGCACACTTTTTGAGACCAATTTTACCTGGCAACAGCTAGCAACCTCCAGCAATCACTTGCCAACCAGTTGGGGAATACAGTTTTTTTCCCTTGTGACCAGAGACCAGAGGTTTTTAGAGGTTTGCAGACTGGTCTTAAGACCTGCATGACTGAAGCCCTCAGTAACATCACAGTGGCTACAGACATCTTTTATGTACATGTTGCATGTAAATGCATTAAGTATGACACACGGAAACACTGAAGCTTTATAGCGCTTCTATTACTAGTACTCCAATTGTTTATGTTTTTCTACACTGCATTTCTACTGGTTTTATTTAAGCAAGGACTGCACATACTTCTATTGCATGTAACGGTGATGTGTAAACACCCTGTCACCACTGAAGGAAAAATGTTTAAAGACTGAAAAAGAAACTTTTTTTATGTTGTTTGTTTGATTATAATAAATTTTGTATGGTGATGATACATGTTCTCACTCAAACATATTGTTACACATCAAATGGAAATGTCACTTTGTGCCACCTGACCTCACCAGGTCTTTACTGTTGGGCCCAGCGGTACCCGTCTGTTGATGTGGGCAGCCACTGGAAACCACGGCAGACAGTGGACATACGCTAATGTCATCGTGTCCAGCACGGTACCCTTCAGAGTGACCTTTGAGGCCCAGGTGGGTGGAGACATGTGGACAGACATCGCCCTGGATGACATTTCCTACACTGCAGAGTGTATAGTTGGAGGTAAAGACCTGAAAGTTTTTCGCCTTCTTTGCCCTTCTATTTAGTTTTTCCTTACTTCCTATCCTTCTAGCACCATTCTCATTTTTCATTTCATTTCCTCCAGTTTTCACATTCTCCCATTTCCCAATTTTTCCCTGTCCTCCAACATCTATGCTCCTCTCCTCAGTTTCCATATAAATAGTGTGAACCCTCAGGGAAAGTGTAGTGAGTTAATGGAGCCTGTTGCCCTGTAGGTCCATATGAATTCAATGCAGAGAATGGGTCAATGCCAAGGGACAGCATGGAGGGCAATGGGGAGGAAAAGCAATTACATTTATATTGTGTTGTTTCCTCACCCTCACCATTCTGTCCTCCCACCACCCCAAACTGTTTCTTTCACTGGCTTTCTGACGAAGCCTCTGTGGTCTCAAAAAAAACATTAACATACTTTCAAAAACAATCCTGGGATTTATCAATGGGGGATTTTTACTGTATTTGACTGAAAATCAAGTTTATTTAACCCTTTTGCATGCATCTCTCCACTGTGATTTTCCACCTCAGAACCTGCGACTCCTCAGCCACTGACTTGTGGTGTGAACCAGTTTCAGTGTGCATACTCCTTCCAGTGTATCCCAGAGAGCTGGTTGTGTGACACGGAGCCCGACTGTGCTGATAAGTCTGATGAAGAGCATTGTCCCACTGTTGTACCCGGAACTCTTCCTCCTCAGGTCCTTTGTCCTCTTGGTTATTTTCAGTGTTCAGATCATAACTGCCTCCCGTCCATAATGCGCTGCGATGGAGTCGTTGACTGTCCCACAGGAGAGGATGAATACAGCTGCCGTAAGTTAGCACCTCTTCATTTTTCACTGAGGATGAATGGCTGGAAAACTGAAGTGCACTTCTAGCAAAAAAGGAAAACATTGGCGGTTTTACCCATATTTAGACATTAATGTTTAATAAGTAACAGATGAGATGAAAACCTCTCGCAAATTCCCCTAAACATGTTTCTGATCGAGCTTGATAGTTCAAAAAATCACACGTGTTTACCAAAAACAACTTCTGGATAATCCACGAACCTCACTGCTTTCACTGGAACTACTGTCCACTGAATAAATAGTCCCTTTAAACTGTTCACAGTTTGTGCTGCAATGACAATGACTGTTTTCTCAGTTTCATCATCCAGTGTCATCATCCAATGTAACATCTTTGAGATTTTTAAAAACAGGTACAATATAAAAAGTGTTGGGATAAAATCTTAATGTCTAAAGCAAATGGCAAAAAAATAAAAATGGGGTCACAGTATATATAGTAAAACTGTTTCCACATAAAATGATAAGCCATTAAACCTCAGATTTATAAGAGGTTATCACATTTTCCATTAAATTTCCATCTTAGTGTCATGGGTAGCACCTTGATGCAGTGGTTAGTCCTGTCAGCTTTGTGGCTTTGTGTTTGAACCATCTTGGACTCTTATATGTTGACAATTATTTAAATCAGGAAGTTCAGTGATGCTGATTCTCAGTCCAGTTCTTGTGTAATTTGGCATACCTCAGCTTTTTTTTCCTGCTTCACTTCCTTAAAAATGGTTAGGAAAAAAAGTTAGAAAAACTCCATTTAAAATGTGTGAAAAAGCAGCTAATGTCCATAAAAAATGTAAAGACCTTTAGAAAGCTTACAACATTATTGCTCTAGACCACTTTAAAAATGAAAAGTCTGGCTTCTTTGAAGCAAAATGTAAAGAAATGAGGGGTGACACAATTCTTGTGCATATTTTTTCCAGTATTTTTCCCCTAAATACTTTGCTCACATCCTACCTGCACAGGTGCCATGCCCAGACCAGTACGGGCCTGCCCAGCAGTTTGACAACCACTAGAATGAAGATGTGCATGCTCATGTGCTTATAGGTCATAAGTGTGGATGTGAACTATAGATATTATGTTCTACCAAAGGTAAAGGTTTACTGGTGCTATACTTAGTTCTTACTTAAACAGAGCAGGTTATAGTGGGTACATTCTGCATACAGATTAAAGACCCTGTTTTATTATTTTTTATTTAGTTTTTAGCACCATAGGTTGAATTTCAGTCACCTCATCTGCACTGGGGTAAACGCAGTAATCGAGGATGTGTGAGTGAGGATCACTGTGGGTAATATGAAGGCCTGGTGAGTTGCTGGTGTGTGTCCTTCTATTTAAAGTCAGCTGGTCTCAGTCCATGCTTTTAAATCCCAACACTCTCAGTGAACTACTCGATTATTTTTAGTGTGTGTGTTACGTTTATATGGGCCTTGGTTAGTGTTTGTTGTGTTAAAATATGTTCCTTTGATAAAGTGAATTTGCCTGTGTATTTGATTGACAGCATTAGTTGTACGGAGCCTGTCGATACAGTTTATATCTAAGAAGAAATTAAATTTTTGGGAGTTAGAAGCTGGACTTTTTGAATATTTGTGCAATTGCTTGTCAAATATCTCTTTAAAATGCTTTAAAAAGGCAGTGAGCAGTGCAGTTCTCCTGCTATAATTACAATACACTCATTATAGTCTGTGAATTTAACACTCACTCCTCTTCATATTTCCTCATTTTTTCCACCAGCTTTGCTCCAGTGTAAGCTGGGAGAACTGGTGTGTGAAAGTTCGCCTAGCTGTATCCCATTTCAGAGGCGTTGTGACCATTTTGTCGACTGCCTGCCATTCCACTCAGATGAATCCAGCTGCCATGGTAACACGCTTTTATTACCTTACCCTTTTTTGCCATTAACTGTAGCCCTGTTGTATGATTTCCTGACATGTCGCAGGTTGCACTTACTCTAAAGTGTCATTTCTACCACCTCTGTGTCACGTCTGTCTGTGCATTTAGCTGTGATCAAATGTCTCTACTTTCATTAGTAGCTTTAATTTAGCTTCTTTTAAAGCTTTAATGTGAATCACTGTGACATTTACTTCCAATGTGCTGTTTCATCTCAATTTGCTTTGATTCGAATGACACGTCTTTTCTTTGTATCCATTTACGAAAAAGTAATCTTTTAAAGTATTTTCGCATTTAATTTAGCACATACCTTTGCCTTTTTTTTCTATATATTGCCCTCTCATGAGTCAGTTTTCCCTTAAGTGCTTCCAGTACTTCACTCATATTTGCCCATTTCGAGGGACTCTCAGGACGTTTTCAGGTCTGGCTGTTTAGTCTTCAAAGCACACCTTACGGTGTTACTGCAAGCTGCCAAAATGTGATCCATTAAAACCTCTGCTTTCCTGCATCTTTGAGAAATAAGCCCAAACCTCCCATTCAGCCTGGATTTGCTGCCAAGCCAAAGTCACTTTATCAAGGGCTGAGCAGCACTTCAGGGTTTCATAATGGTATTTCCAGCATGATGATTATTTAAAAGGCAACCCTAATAACCCTCATCCAACCTATGGAGGCAGGAGCAGTCATCATCAGATAGATTAGGTGGG